CGCCCCGCCCCCCCCCCCCCCCACCAGAATCAATTGGATTGTTCCACCGGGCTCTACCCTCGGTCGCTTCACATGTTTCAAACATGCTTCGTGCATGTTTCCTGTAGTTTTAGTGTTTGTACTTCGACTGAACCCAAAGTGTCGACGAGTCTTCAGGCGGCTGCAGAGCGAGTCTCTTCGAGGTTCTGGAGGTTCTAAAAGTTCTGGAGGTTCTAAAAGTTCTGATGGTTTTTATTTTTTTATTTTTGTTTTCTCACCAACGGTTGGCGGTTTGAAACCCGACGGCACCCGGCGGGTTAGTTTTCACGGTTGGGATGAAGGATCGGCGCCAGAACATGAAGGAGCGCTCCTCGTGGCGGCGGACCCGCAGAGGGAACCGGTCCGTGGCGGACCCGGTGCTGGGACTTGGCGGGCGTCTTCGGTGTTGGACCACGGGGGGGACAGCTCTTCTGTCCAGAATGATTGTAAATCTGTTCCCTGTGGGGAGTTCCTGAACACATAATAAACATGATTTGATCCAACAGACCCGTTTGTTCTTACCTCAGGAGGTTCTGCTGGGACCGGTCCACCGGGTCAGCGTTTACACGTTTCACCTGCAGAAGCTAAAACTTTTTAAACTCTAGATTTAAACTAATTTGCAAAAAACTAATTCAGATTAAATTTCTTACTTTTTAAATAAAAACTGTTCAGATTCCAACAATAAATGTTGAACAAACTCTCAAACTTTATGTTCTGGTTCTGGTCCGGTTCAGAAGTTCTGGTCCAGTCCTGAAGAACCGCTTCCTTCATAAAATGTTTTTTTTGTCTCGTCGAGCAGCTTTGAGTTGAAACCAGCTTCATTTGTTCCCTTATCGCTGCTTTATGTTTGTTTTAGCGGGTCGAATCGGTTCTTCTCATCCTGAACTTTTCACTGCACTGGTGACCTTGTGTTGACCTTCGAATGACAACAACAACAACAAACGTCTCAGGAGTGGAGCGGAGAGTTCTGCTGAAGGGACGGGTAAAACCCAGAACCTGCTGCTGCTCACGGTTCTGGAGTTCTTAAAATCCAGCTCCTAGTTTTCACACGAGACGTTTCTGTCCAACTTGGTGGTCAGGGAGTGACAGACAGGTATGCGGTTACCATGGTGACCATAGTAAAGGGCTGTGTGTCGTACGATGATGAAATCGGAGCAGCCAGGTGGAGCAGCGGGGAGCAGGATTGCTCAGAGTCACCACGACGGCGCAGCAGGGAGTTGAACCATGACTGGTCCCAGGTCGGCTGCACCGCCTCGACACCAGTAAACTTCAGAACCGTCTGTCGGGTCAAAGTTTGACAAAAGTTTTAATTCCTTCAAAATGTGTTTCTTATAAACGGGTCTCATAAAATCTTTTCATTGGATTCTGTCAGACCTGCAGCAGAACCTGCCGGTCCAGGTTCTGTTCAGGTTTAGCCTCCAGGTGGAAACAGGACTGGCACAGACCTGGACCGCATTAATGTTGGACCCAGCAGCAGGTTCAGGTCCTTGAGTCCGTCTGTTCTGCCTCAGGATGAGGAGAGAAACCTGAACCTCATCCTGGAGGATCTCAAGACCTGCAAATAATACCTCCAGGTCTGGAACACAGAAGGACCAGGACAGACCGGAGCAACATCCTCCACACTGGTGACGAGTTTGGTAAAAATGACACAAAGACGCCAAATAAAAAATAAACTTTTAGACTAAAAGAGCTCAAAAATAAAAATTGATCTAAAATCAACAAAAAACAAAAATGTATTTGAAAGGAAAAAATAAACTTAGTATTTTATTATGGATTATTTAAAAAGAAACAGGAAGTAGTAGACCATAAACAGGAAGTCGATGACCTAATCGAGAAGAGTAGGCGGAGCTTGAAGAGCACACCTGTCGGTTAGGCTCCTCCCCCTCCGCCTGGTTTGTTCAACAGGTTTGAAAACAGAAGAAACTCGGAGCTGAACCCTGAACCCAGAGACTGGACGATTCCAGGTGAGTCCTCTGAGGTGAGCCGGTCCAGCTGGGTCGAACCCGCGCGGGTTCTGAAAGGCCTGGTTCCGGAATCCGCAGGTGTGTCGGCTTCTGTTTCGGTTTGAGGTCCGACCTGAACCAGGGTCTCATGAAGACCCGAACGGTTTTCTGACCCAGATTCTACTCAGCTGATCAGGACCAGGGTTCTCAGAGTGGGGGGTTCGGGAGCCCGGTGTGGGTCAGGGAGAAGTTCGGGTCTTCAGAAGTTCGACATGTATCATCAGCTGTGACCAAATGAGTCTGTTTGTAACTTTAGTTTGTGGGTTGAAAGGTTCGGAACCACCAGTTTGACCCGACAGAACCCCAGGAGGTAGAACCGACACTGTTTGGTTCTGAGATCAAAAACATGATGTTAAAATTATGAATCCTAAACCCGACAGAATTAATCAGATTAAAAAACACCTCAGGATCTGATGTTGATTTAAAGAAGAATAACAGTTCAGTTCTGGTCTGCCTCAGGTGTTCTGGTCCAGGTGTTCTGGTCCAGGTGTTCTGGTCCGCTCCTCCTGACCCAACAGCTCCAGCTGTCTCGTCCTGACAGATGTTCTCCTCTATCACCTGAATCGTCTCTGTGGGCGTCACTTGGTGTGTTGCTGTCTGGAGATCATCAGCGGAGTTCCTCTTGGAGTATAAATTGGCCTCCTGTCTTTCAGCTTCCTTAGTGGGATGGAGTGCTTCACTTCTAGCACAGTATAAACCCAGCTTTAGCCACTCCTGGTGGTTTTAGCTGCTGTTTGTTTTGGGTCTTTCTGACACTGAACAGCACATTTAGCTCCAGAAGGCTTTGATAGTCTTGAGATGTGATTGTTCCCTGCAGGGTTCTGGTCTTTGTTCCAGTGTGTGCTCACAGAGCTGATGGAACATGATGTCCAGCAGCTCCGGTTCTGTCTCATCTGTCCCGAGGACGATGTCTCCGGAGCTTTGCTTCTTCTCTGAATCTGAGTTTTCCTGCAGCTAAAATATCAGAAGCTGTGAAAATAAACCCATTTTAGGTTCTGTTCTTTACATAAAGCAGCTCAAACCGGGTCGACTCAGAACCACTGACCTCTGTGGAGAAGAGGCCGACCGCAGGAAAGAACAAGAAGCTTCAGCTGATGGATGAAACCTTCGGCTGATTTAAACGTTTTCACGTCTGGAAGCGAGCAGGTTTTAGCTGCAGCTCTAATCCTGTAACCTGACGGCCAGAACCAAAGTTTAGGGCCGAACAGAACCAACGGTTCGGGCCGAACAGAACCAAAGTTTAGGGCCGAACAGAACCAACGGTTCGGGCCGAACAGAACCAAAGTTTAGGGCCGAACAGAACCAATGGTTCGGGCCGAACAGAACCAAAGTTTAGGGCCGAACAGAACCAATGGTTCGGGCCGAACAGAACCAAAGGTTAGGGCCGAGCAGAACCAAAGTTTAGGGCCGAACAGAACCAACGGTTTCGGGCCGAACAGAACCCAGGCGAGCCGGCGCAGCAGCAGCAGGTCTTTCAGGTTCAGTTTGTGTTTTTGGCTCGGTGCCATGTTCTGAAGTGGTTCCTGCGGCTCCGCGAGTCCGAGCGTCTGAGTTTCTGTTGACGCTTCATCAACAGGAAGTCTGGGAGAATAAAACTCAGCGCCAGGTTTGGAGGGTCCTGGAGGGTCCTGGAGGGTCCTGGAGGGTCCTGGAGGGTCCTGGATCTAAAACTAAAAGAAGTCCAACCTCTTTCAGTTTCAGGGTTTTAAGAAAATAATGAAAATTTGACCTCGAATCAACAAACAACAGATTTCATCGTTTAATCAACAGAAACAAAATGTTTAATCTGTTAATCCACTCCCACGCCAGGGCGGAAAAACATCAGCAATAAACTCAGAGAAGCAGCTGGGAAGGGTCACAGCTTTCACCCTGAAGGTCAGACCGTGCAGTGACGCTGCAGGCCTCAGTCAGCAGGGCAAAGGTCATGACCTCCTCATGGCAGCACAATTTAGGTTCATCTGTAGGAACCACAAGACTTCTGGACCAGAACCAGAGCAGAGGACAGATGTTTGCCCAGAATGCACTGCAGCAGACAGCTCCTCCAGCTGTCAGCACGGAGGTGGAGGCTGATGGTTTGGGCTCCTGTCAGTCCCTGAGTGGACCAGAACTCCTGGAGACCAAACAAGAGTCCAACAACAAACTGGGTCCAACAGAACCAGGACCAAAACACAACAGCTGATCTACAATAGAACGGGTCAGAAAGACCAGAACCAATGTGCTGCACCGGTCCAGTCAGAGTCCAGAACCTGAGCCTGACTGGACCTCTGTGGTGGACCTTCAGAGATCAGAACCCTCACAGAACTTGGATCAGAGGAATCTGTTTCTGTTCATTTGAGTCAGGTTTGAATAATGTTCGATCCGTTTGATCTCTCAGAACTTCAGAACTGAAAGAGACCGGCTGACTGGTTCTGATCCGGTCCATGAAGGACCAGGTCTCAGGGTCTGCAGGTTTTTATTGTTTGATGAAATTATTGACTTTTTTACAAAAATAAGTTTCTTAAATAAACACGTAATGATTTGTATGGTTCAGTGATCTCAGGACTCCTCTTCCTTCTCCTCCTTTTCCTCCTCCTCCTGCAGCTCCTCAGCTCCTGCTCTCCCCCTGACAGGCGTAGTCTTTGGTTGAAGGCGACCTCTGACCTCCTCCTCGGCTAACATGATGGAGGTGGCAGGAACCTGGACAGAAGTCTTCGAGAACTCGGAGGTGAGGGACTCGTCCTGTGGAGGAGGCGACCTGTTGAGCACCTCCTCTCTGACTCTGGCTCCTCTGGTTCCTCCCGACCCGCGGCCCATCCGTCGCTCCCAGCCCATCCTGATCACCTCCAACAGGTAGGACGGTCAGCTGACAGGAAGTCAACACGTCTGCCTCAGAGGGGACGCCTCCTCCTGTTGACTCGAGTCAGTGAGTCGGCAGGAGGAGGGGTTCTGTTGGTCAGAGTCCAGCGGGTCAGATCAGCTCTGATCGTTTCGTTCCTTGATGGGATGCTGATCGCCCGCCTGTGATGTCACTCAGTCTGTCAGGACGACTCTCAGCTACTACCTCCAAGTTTTACCTTCACGTCTGTGTTTTAGTCATTTTTGTGTTTTCTAACATCGAGCGGCTGTGGCGGCCATCTTTAAAGTCTGTCCATAAAAGTGGCGGGTGATATGCATTCCTCCCTCCTCTGGCTGACGTGATGTTCTGTTGAAATAAATAAAACCCTTCATTGCAACAACAGATCAGTTTCTCGGTCGTCACTTCTCTCGTGTGTTTTCTGTTCTTTCTTCCAGGCCCAAAGGTTCTGACCCGTTCTCCTCGGTTCCCTCCATCCCCAACCCGTTCCCGGAGCTCTGCAGTCCCTCCGGGTCCTCGGCTCTCATCAGCTCGCTCCCTCAGCAGTCCACCGACAAACATGTGAGTCTGAGACGTTCAGGAGCCTCACTGCAGCTTCGGCTCATCTCCGATCAGCTGAAACTCTGTTTTTGAATGCTGAGAGGTGAAAGCGCTAAGAGCTAAAAACATCAAGAACCTGTAATTTTTTTACTTTAACTGTTAGCTAGCCTTTTTCTATAACAGTTAGCATGTTGCTGTGGGGTAGCATTTTGTTACTTTTAGCTGTTACCTAGCATTTAACTATTTTTAGCCTGCCTATTGCAACATTTAGCTTTTACCTAGCCTTTTTCTACATTTAGCTTTTAGCAAACCTTTTACCATTAGCTTTTACTTAATCTTTTGCTACTTTTAGATTTAGCTGGTGTTCAGCTTGTATAGCAGTAATAGCTGATTTTCTAAGTAGATTTCAGCTGTCATTTAGCTCCTAATGTTTACACAGTTTTTTTTTTTACAAAACTTTTTTTTTCCTGTTTGTCACTTGAGACAAGTTTGCTCAGTTTAACAAACAAAAAGCAGCTAAAACACCAAACTTCTTAGCTTTAATCAGTCGAAGTATATTCTGTGTTTCCTGCAGAAAACAAATATGATTCTTTAGCTGTGGTTAGACTATGTCACTGTTTTAGCTGTTTCTTTTACCATCTGTACACAGATTTATCTTGGTTCAGAGTTTCACAGAAACTGAAAAAGAACGACTCTTCGTAGTATCAAATAAATTATTTTTATTAGAGATTGTTGGCGACCCGTGTTATGTTCGCAGTTAGCTCAAAGTTAGCTCAAAGTTAGCTCAGTTAGCTCAAAGTT